AAAGTAATTCAACCAATAATAACTTTTTTTTAAATTTCATTTTTTTGACCTTTTCTTTACTCTTTTGATAAAAAAAATTTGACTATGACACCAGTAAAACAAATTGAAGTTGATTTGGTTGCTAAATTAGCCCAAAAACAACATTTGATTTTTTTTTTTTGGTATTTTTACGAATCAAAGACTCAAAAGACAATGAGAAACACGAAGAACAATAAAAAAAAAACAAAGACTTAACAGAACTAAAAAGGGACATGACCTTGATTTTGGAGCCCAAGCTCTAATATCAACTGACGTGAACCCGTGTAGCAACGGTGGCTATGAAACCCACAACTAGATTGAAATCGATTCCCAAACCGCCAAAGATTCATGGTTTTGGATTTAATCCAAAAACTATGAACCAAGCAACCAATAAAAATAGTATTTATCAGCCTCTTAATCACACAATGATTGAACCTCACCTGGATTTGTAAATGCCACAGGATCGTTAATTTTGATAAGTTCGAATTGTTCAATTAAGAACAAGAAAAGTGAAAGCAAACAGTCCCTGTTTAAAATTCTCTCAAAATATCAAAGTCCATTAGAATGAAAAATAAAATATCCTATTTATACTATACCCTAGCATAAATTTAAAACGGAAAATAAAGATTACAAAGATTGCATAAAATTGGAATCCTAACGTAAATAGGTAACTTGCGAAAAAAGGAAACTCTTGCCTCGAACTTACTCTATATGATCGCACAATGTAACTCTATACGGTCGCATAAAAGTTACATTGGCCCCCAGTGAATTCTTTGCACTCCACCATGCAGTAGCATGGTTTGGGACACTATGTGACCGCATAGTTGGCGGTTCCAACTTCAGCCTCTTGAACCAACTTGCTCCTAATTATTTTGGCATTCAACCTCAACATCAAACTTAGACTTTGGCTTGGCCAACAGTTTGTACTCCATAGCTCGAACAAGTAATTGGTCGGCTTATTAACTCTATTTGGCCTCGATTGTGCCCTTGGCTTCCCGTCAACATACTTCGAACACTTACTAGCTTGATGACTTTCCCGGATCACATCATTAACATTGAATTTCTTCAATGTCTTCAAGTGCACACCTTTTTGTTGCAAAGAGTATTCTAGAAAGATGAAACACTAGTTACTTTTATATCAAGGAATCTCTATTTGCATGGTATTAATACATTAGAATAATGCTATTTGTAGTAAATCCCAGTAACCCTACGTCGTATACACGTGACGGTTAGTAATATGATACATAAGACAATAAAAAAATACTACATTAATGTATCAAATCACTAACCGCCATATATATGTTACGTAGGGTGACTACGACAGTGAACGACTACAAGTAGCATTACTCTATTCATTATGATCTAGGTTTGGTCTCTATACAATCTTGCACAAAAATTTCCTTAAGATTCCTTTAATTGGGAAACAAAAACAAGAATTTTATATTTGACCGAACTCGACCGCTAAGGACAGTTATGAGCTACTATAGATTAATTCCAACAGGAAGAATTTTCGTTCAAAGTTTCTCAAGTTGCGGTTTCAAAAAACATGATTGTGACAGCAACATTGCTTCCACTTTACTTTGCAATTTTAATTATTGAATATTGTGCATCTTGGTCCCAGTCCCAGATATTTTGTACACTTTTAGTCTCTTCAACTCTAAATAATCTAAATGAGGTCCTACATTTCCTATTGTTTTCCATATTGAGCCTTCATTTTTCAAACTCCTCTACGTTTCTACTTCAACTTTTATTTTCTTCAAATTTGATCTTCCAAAGTGTTGATAGTGTTCAAGTTAGTCCAGCCAACCCTAGAATTAGGTCTCCAAAACTTGTGAATTCATCTAATTAGCACTTTCAAAGCTTCCAATCAACTGCAATCTTTCCGATAGTTTTTCAATATCATCTCTAAAGCTCCAATTATCTTCACCTATAAAAGCCATACATCACCAGTATAGTGGTTGCTGCCTCACATTATGTAGCTACCTTGCAACCAATTGCTCCTCTGCAGCATGAAGTTGCTGCAGCATCGGTGATTATTTTAATTTGAAATCTAATCTCATGCATTAGTCTAAAGTGTAATGTATATAACTTACATGATTTAAACCAATTGTTGATTTTCTAGGGCATAATAAAGGACAACCTTACAAGCAATTAAAGAAATTAGTTTTTGAATAATGTACAGTTATAGCTAATCAATATATGCCCAATTTTCACTCTTTCAACTGAGAGAGAGAGTTTTTGGACAAGCGAATTCACATCAATTTCATATTTCACAAATCATGCAAAAATTTCATGTTTCCCAAAATGATGTTCATACATGCCCACATGATGGTAACATGTGGCTCATTCCTTACCTTTGGAATGAGCACAACATGTGGGCGAAATAAAATAACCCTCATTCTCACCTTGCGCAATCAATTGCACAATTCTCTCCTTGATACACGCATGAAATTCTCTCCCTAAAAAGACTCTTCATCTTTATATTCATCTTCATCTATGAGATTATAGATTTAAATGTGCTCATGGTGAACATTAATTTTCAGTTAGCCTATGTGGGTTGTTCTCCAAAAGGGTTTATTGTGGTGTTATTTTGCAAAACATTTGTAATATTTGGTGTACTACAAAATTTTTTAATCTTTTCTTGGATAGTGCTAGTGGATTCGAGCATGCTACCCTCAGTGGACACTCAATACTGAAAAGCAGCCATTTTCATTGAACATTCGGATCCTTGTAGCAAAAAACACTATCATGTTCTTTAGTGCTTTCATGTGTTCTGTATTTTCTTGGTGGAATTGAGTTCAACTGAGTCCAATATTATGATATATAAACTAAACTTAACCAACAACCATTAGACTACCAAAATTATGAGAGTCTTCATGTATTAGATATTGTTATATTTATGGACAATCATGCTTAGTGTTAGCACTCTAACCTATATCCATCAAATCGAAAAATCGATGCACAACACGAAGTCAGATAGTAATACTTCTATCAATTCGTATCATTAAATAATGGAATGTAGAGCCTATCAAAAATGGCTCTGATACAATATCGAAATCGTGTACCATGGTATTGAACCAGATCAATGATATTTATGTTCAAAATCTCATGCTAGTCCAACAATAAGCATGACTCACAGTGTGTAGGTATGACTCGATCGTCCAAAGATATCTACAACTCAATTCCATATTCTAGGATTAGTATAGTTGAGAGATAAATAGATCTTACGAAATTATTTAGTGTTACATACAGAACTATTGAGATTTTATTTATAAGCTGACAGAGACACTTATTAAGGGATTGTTCGACAAAGCTTTTGATAAAAGTTTTAGCAGATTTTTATAGAAATTAATCCCACGTAGCTGAAAAGTTTTGAATCCCATAATAAAATGTGTAACTAACAATTGTAGCTCCAATTGAGTAATTTATGGTCCCAAGTCCAACCATTTATGACTATAGTGTCATCGGCAATATATCTACTAGAGTATCCAACATAAAATTTAAATATTTGTACCAAGTTAAAATAACGAAATCACCTCTAAGAAGTTACTTATGAGTATAAATCATTTATAAAATTTAAAAGTGAGTTATTTAAATAGCAAGTGTTAAAGAGATGAATATTCACGTGAAATGCTTGATCTCAATTAGAAATTTTTATTTATTTATTTATTTTCAATAATTAAAGTAACTATTTTACAACAAAACAACTGGTAACTCACAAACTGATTTTATTTCTGCAAATATATAGAAAATATGGTAACATTGTCAATTAAATTAAAGAACAACATCGCTCATAACCCATGCACTACTCCAGCCATCCATTTTTTCCAAAAAGGGGTACCTAGTTTCAGTCATAAACAAAGTCAAGATTAGGACATTAGCAGGCCACAACAAAAGATTTCTCTATTTATTTTCATAAATTCTATACCATAGTCATGGTGCAAATAATTAAATGAACAAACCTTTAGGACATAAATTTTCTCTTGAATCTTCTCACGTACATTGTTGTTCTCACGTACATCCAATCTCCAATATCATTCAAAAATTTGAAGTAGGAATGCCTCCACGAATGCTTGAGGACTAAAGTACCAACAACTATCCAGAACCCAGTGATGAAACCAAATACCATGCAGATAAAGAAATCTCGATTTATAAACCTATCATCTTCTTTAACAACATTTGCCTTGCCATGATCATTCACCGAAGGATCAGGAGGACACTCAGCCAATGGATCTCCACAGAGTTGACTATTCCCAATGTACGTCGATGAGTCGAAGCTCTGTAGTTGAGTGCCTAGTGGAATCTTGCCCGTCAAATTATTGTATGATAAGTCCAAAACACTGAGAAAATGTAAATTCGCAAGGCTATTCGGAATCTCCCCAGAAAGTTGGTTCCTAGACAGGTCAAGCCATTCCAGTGTGTCCAATTGACCAATGCTTGAAATGATATTCCCTGTTAAAAGGTTTCTTGATAAGTTGATGAAAACTAAACCTCTCAAATCAAAAAATGCTTGAGGAATAGTTCCAACTAACTTATTGCTAGAGAGATCAATGCCTTTCAAATCTCTTAGTCTTTTATATTCCGACTCTTGTCTTTTCCATTGAACTAAAGCATTGTCATCTTCATCCAATGGTTCCCAATATTCAAACGTGCTATTAGCTTCGAGAACTGATGAACCATCATTCCGGACCAAAAACGTAAAATTGTTTAAGCATCGTGGAATTTTTCCCGAAATGTTGTTCCTAGAAAGGTCCAAGACAAGAATATTGATAAGGTAACAAATTTTTGGAGGAATGGATCCATGAAAACTATTATATCGAAGGCTAAGGACCGCCAAATCTGTTAGGTGTGTTCCTATCCACGATGGAATTGTACCTGTTAACTTGTTTCCACCCACATCTAGCTTTCTCAACATTGTGCAATTCTTCAAAGAGGAAGGCAATTCACCAGTGAAATTATTGTTGCCCAAATGCAATATTGCAAGCCACTTCAGAGAGCCTAATGAAGGGGGAAGTTTACCTGAGAACTTATTATTCGCCAAATTGAGAGTTCTTAGGATATGTAAGTTCATCCAGCAATCAGGAAGCTCTCCGTCTAATTGATTATTCGAAAGAATAAGGGTGGTAATGAAGGAGTTCTCAGAAATTGTGCATAAGTTGAATATGGATCCCGATAACAGGTTTTCGGAAAGTATCAACGTTTCTGAATATTGAAAAACCGACAATGGAATTGGGCCTGAAAGATTATTATAACTTAAATCTACAGATACGTAAGAATTCAACTTAGAGGACAAATGAGGCATCCCACCACTAATATTATTATGGGAGAGATCTAAATGTCGTATAGAAGACATATTCCACAACCAATTAGGTAATGTGTTCGATATACCAGCAAAAGAGAGATGGAGATACATAAGAGAATTTTGTTTTCGAATCCAAATTGGAAAATAAGGCCCCATATTACAATGATTGAGGAATAGAAATTCCAATTGAAAGGTAGGGATCCAATCAAAGCTCAAGTTGAGAGACACATTGTTAAAAGATAAATCAAGGGATATTAGTTGGGGTAAGATTTGAAAGGTGATGTTCGGTGATTGTACATTCCAGCGAAGTTGAAGAGAGATTTAAATAACTGATACTGTAAAGTTGCTCCATAGCTTTGGGAAGCTTTTTCAATTGATTTCCGGATAGATCTAATTTGTACAATGACGAAAATCCTCCAAAGTCCGACAGTGATCCTGAAATTTGATTGTAGGATAAGTCCAAACTTCCAAGACTTGAAAGCTGATCAAGGCTTTGTTGTTGGACCCCAACCAATTGATTGTTGCTAAGGTACAACTCCATTAAAGATGAAAATCTGCTGATGTCTGGCAAGGAACCAATGAGTTGATTGTTGGATAAATCTATACGCTGTAGTGCCAGTGACATTATCTCTGATAGTTTTCAAATAAATGAGGAAGCGGTACATTCAGTTTATTGAATGAGATATCTAGTGAATGCAGATGACTTAAATTCAAAGGTTTGTGAACCCCTCCGTGGAGTAGATTACCTTTCAAATTAAGCTCCCCAAGAAAATGCAATTTCAAAAAACTACCTGGAATAGGACCGTTTAATAGATTATAAGAGAGGTCTAAGAGAGCAAGATTTCCGCAAAAGTCAAATAATGAGTCAAATGTGGAAATGGAAGTGAGATCATTGTGGGATAGATCAAGAGTAGAAAGGTTGGACAAAGAAGAATTTGCAGAGGCATCAAATACAGGCAAAGAGTCGCGAAGTTGACAACCTGACAAGTACAACGACTTGAGTGAAGAGTTTGCTATTGACTGTACCCAGTTGGTTATAGTACTAAGATTATTACCACTCAAGTCAAGCCAAGATAACGAAGAAAGATTAGAAAGCCAATTAAGATTATTGATTGTCAACTTATTGTATTGGAGGGTCAAAGACTCCAAGTGCTGCAACTCTTGCAATGAGGGACTTATCTTACCTCTTAAATGCCTATTAGATAGATCGAGGGAGAATATGTGACCAGTTTTGGTACATCTCACACCATGCCAATCGCAACATTCCCCTTTATCATCTTCACTTCCCCACGTTAGCCCACTAATTTCACCTGAAAACTTGAGAAGAGCTTGTTTCTCCCTCTCTATGCACCTAACTTCAGCAGCGGCCCCAACTACAGAAACCGATAATTTCATGCACAGAAACAGTAGCAATTGCAGTATTTTGAGCTCCATTATTATTTTCTCTGACACTGATAAAAAAAAAGGCTTTTGAGTTTTTGAGTTGTTTGTGTTCACAGAATCATCATTTTATAATCTCACGAAAGCATCAGACACGGTATATTGGAGGACCCCTTTGGAAAAATAAAATAACTTGGATTGGCTGAGCTTAGAGACTTCAATTCCACAATGAAATCTCTCACGTACACATTAAACACGGTAAAAGTAGAGGACCCCATTGGAAAAACAAAATAAAACTGGGATTGGTTTAACTTAAATATTATATTAATTCCACAATTAAGTAGTCACCACGCCATAATTTAAAAATGTATTTATAGCATTATTGTCTTTGAAAACCCCGTAAAAATAGTCTCAAAACCATTGATTGAAATTAAAGGCAATGCAAGAAAGTTTATAACGTGTTGTAATATTGTGAAATGACACATGAACGTGTTTGATGATTTCGTATAGTTGACTCTAGTCAATGCATTTTGGTGTAGACGCGGAAATTAATTATGTACACACAATCAAAAGATACTATTCTTAATTACCAAACTTTGGAGCAAGGGACTGCCATGAATAATAATAATAATAATAATAATAAAAAAGGTCTTTGAAGATCAATAGTTTTTATCTTAATCTAAATCAGATAACTATATATTCAAGAGATCAAATAATTCACTATTAATTATCATTTTTTGATGGCATACATTGAAAATATGGTTAATTTGAAAAAATAAAATAAAATTAAGTTTTCTTATTATAGTAGCTTTGATTCTACTCAATAGAAATTATCAAATGTTTTAAAAAAAATTTGATTGTCAACGCTAATTAAATAAATTGTCATAACTTGATACTCAAAGTTGAATATGATAACAAAATCGTAAGTCCTAAAATTTTAAAATCATCAAGATTTCTCAAATCTAATATATTTTTGACCAAGGTAGTTGTTTTCAATTTTGAATCTAGTTTAATAAAATCACACTTCCGTGTTACTTTTAGCTTGTCAAGTAATCATATAGAATTATTTATATTGGATAATCAGTAGCTGAGTACTCGTAGGGACAATATTTAATTCGCTATTCCTTGTTGGATATTGCGAATTTTTAATTTTCTTGAACAAGCTCCTTCATACATGAGTTTAATATAGCCCAAGCAAATAACCACTAATAGCAAGTCTCATCAAATATGAGGAGCATATAAAATGCTATGAAGCAGTAGAGTGTATCCACAACACTAGACTAGCACTTCCAAACTAGCTTCAATTTTCATGTAGCTCGCGATAATCAATGATACTTTACAAACATAATTTGGTCCCCCGCTACTTGCGATATGCAATTGCAGCATTGGCGGCTTGCCTTGTTCGCATTTATTATTCATTCTTAGATGCATGTCCAACAGTCCCTTAGGAGAATTGGTGGTTTAGACCTAAATGTCTTGAACAAGCTAGGCTCTATTCAGGATATTACGATGCCAAATGTCATGTACAAGATGGTTGGCATTTGTTAGTTTTTGCTTAAAAATGAAAATCGAGTAACTGGCACACTTACTTCTTTTGCTACCTTAAGCCCAATGGTCTATGAACCAGATCCAGGATTGGACGAACAAATTTTTTAGTTATAAAAAATAAAATTTTTACCCATAAAAAAATGAAAAGGACCCGGGCCAGTTCTCCCTTAAATCTTCCGTTTATCATTGAATGTAAAAAGGGATAATAATTTAAGCATTTTTTACGTACACAAATATTGTTATCTTGTTCAAAAAATATTAACGTGTATTAGGTAAATAATTATAGAAGAATACATTTGCGTAAGGAGAATTTCTAAAATTGTATAATAAAATGGGCGACGAGTATAACAAGTTAACAAGACGAGCTTGAGAATATTGTCGTTTTCAAATCTTTAAATCAGAAAATGTCACATTCTTATCAAATTATTGCCACGTAAAAAATTTACCAATCCATGTCTCCATTCCCCACAATGCATTATCATCTTTACTCGTTTTTACTTTTGACTTTGTTTATAATTAATTGTAATATGCATGTCATATAATTAAATTATAATCTGCTATTGTGTATGGATTTAAAAATTTCTTCTATGATATATCACTCGTTAGATCAAAATTTACGAAACCTGCTTTTATCCTTTTTGTCTTTAGTATTAAACAAAATTTGCTAAATGGAAGGCAGACGATATAAATACCAAAAAATAAAAAATAAAAATAAAAAATTCTTTAGGCTAGTCAAGGAGTTATTAAAATAACAATTGGTAAAGTGACGAATTAATCAAGTGAATTACTTGATCTCAGTTAGAACTTATTTATATTTCAATAATTAAAGCAATAATTCACAAGAAAGTGAGATTTTATTTCTGCAAATATATAGAACTTATAATAACAGTGTCAATTAGATTAAGAGAACCTTGTGCATGACTCCAACTTCAATTTTTTTCCCGAAAGGAGCACCTGATTTCAGTCATAAACAAAGTCAAGATTAGGGCACCTGATTAAAAGTTTTGTATACTTGTGCCTATAAATACCATGCCATAGTCATGGTTTATATACTAACTTGTAGGACATAAATTTTCTCTTGCAAATCTTGTCACGTAGATTGTTGCTGTCACATACAATGGAATCTTGGATTAATTGAGTTTAGAGACATTAATTCCACAATGGAATCTCTCAATTACGCATTAGACCAGGTAGAAGTGGAGGACCCCTTAGGAAAACCAAAATAAACTGGGATTGGTTTAGCTTAAATATTATATTAATTCCACAAATAAGTAGTCACCATGCCATAATTTAAAAAGTATTTATAGTATTATTCACTTTGAAAACCCATTAAAGTAGTCTCAAAAGCATCGGTTGAAATTAAAGCCATACAAGAAAATCTTTAATGTGTTGTGATATTGTGAGATGACACATGAGCGTGTTTGGTGCTTTCTTATGGTTGACTCTAGTAAATACCTTTCGGTAGAGACGAGGAAATTATGCACACACAATCAAAAGACATTATTCTTAATTACTAAACTTTGTAGCAAGGGATGGCCATGAGTCAAAAAATGTCTTTAAGATCGATAGTTTTTATAATGTCATGATCTTAATCTAAATTAGAAAACTATATATTTAAGAGATCAATTAATTCGCTGTTAATTATCATTTTCTGATGGCATACATGTAAAAATATGGCTATTTAAAAAAAATAAAAAAAATCATTAAGTTTACATATTTTAGTAGGTTTGATTCTACTCAATAGAAATTATCAAATATTTTAAATAAATTTTATTGTCAACACTAATTAATTAAATTGTCATAACTCGATACTCAAAGTTGAATATGATAACAAAATTGTGAGTCCTAAAATTTTAAAATCATCGAGTTTTCTCAAATCTAATATATTGTTGACCAAGGTAGTTGATTTCAATTTTGAATCTAGTTTAATAAAACCACACTTCCGTGTTACTTTTAGCATGGGTTCAAGTAATTATACAGTATTAGTTATATTGATAAACAGTAACAGAGTACTTATGGGAAAAATATTTAGTTCGTTATTCCTTGTTGGATATTGTGAATTTTTAATTTTCTTGAACAAGTGCCTACATGCATAAGTTTAATGTAGCCTAAGCAAAATTAACTACTTGAACCCATGCTAAAAGTAACACGGAATTATATTGATAATTGGTAACAGAGTACTCGTGGGAACAATATTTAATTCGCTATTCCTTGTTGGATATTGTGAATTTTTAATTTTCTCTTGTTCCTTCATACATAAGTTTAATGTAGCCCAAGCAAATTAACTACTGATAGCAAGTCTTATCGAGTATGAGGAGTATATAAAATGTTATGAAGCAATAGAGTGCATCCACCACACAAGACTAGTATGTAGGCGCTAATGCCTAGCACTTCCAAACTAGTTTCGATTCCCATGTAGCTCTAGTTGGCAATCGATGATACTTTACAAGCCTAATTTTTTCACTTGCTACATGTGATCGGTTGCTTTTGAATCTACAATTTATAGAAGAGGTATAAATAGTCATAGCATGAATTGGAACAAAAATGTTGTAAGTACTGGAGTCACGAAGGAAGCTTCTTGGCTTACTTCAATCACGAAGAAAATGTATTTACTTGCCAAAATTACAGCATTTGTCTATCTTGCTCTTGAAACCTCGTGGTCATCTACCACGTATAGGATCTTATGATGCCAAATGTCATAATTTTCATCATGTAATTGCTCTTGAATTTAAGAGTAACACCATTATTTTCTTCTTTTAACTTGCTGTAGAAATGGAATCAAATTCATCCATCTTGATTTTGTCGCCACTTCACTATTAAACTTGGTCGCAATCACATCTTGAATTAAGAATCACTATTCTTAACTCACACCAAACAGTTTGAATAATGAATATAATCGTACATTAACACTCTTGTTTGTTTTCTACAAATAAGGTTGAAGAAGAATGGCAGGCTTTGACAGTGTTCAATAATACATTAATACAGTCAAACATGATAGGGAAAATTTAATATTTTAAACCAATCCTTCCTTAGATTTACTTGATTAACTTATCAAGGAATATCCAGGATGGCAAGTGAATAACTCTGTATTAGTTGGATGATGGTAGCGGAAAAATTATCTTTATTTTGTGTGTTAAGACACTAAAATCTACAATCATAACATTGTGTTGAAATAACTTATCATTCAGTCAGTCGGTTAGGACTGATTGTCGATTTGGACATGTGTCATGTTTTTTATGTTTTTGACAATTTTCTTTGACATTTAGAAATTAATCTATATATTAAGTCAGCCAATATAACTAATATGTAAAAATATGATTTCAACAATCTCTACCTTTGGCTTAGCATAATTTCAAAAACAAATTTGGATTTCTAATGTCATGCTTGTGAGGGGATGTTTGGGAGTGATTTTTCATCCTAAAAAATTGATTTTTTGACCGTTATTTCACTATTTCAGCCATAATTTTGACTTCTTTTATTTCACTATTTCAGCCATAATTTTGAATTCTTCTCTCACAAGTGGCCCCCACT